CAAACTTTGCTCTTTACTAGGCAACCACTTTAAGGTATCAGTGTGAACCTACGTCATAAAGTTTGGCAGGACTATTGGAAGTTTAATTTGAAAAAACTCAGTATTATCCTAACAGGTAAACTATTAAAGATGAATATCGAAAGGCAAACTGTAGCCTCTGATATATAATGAATCAATGCCTACACCACAAAAACAATTTGTAACCAACTGAAGTGATATGAGAAAAAAACTGTTATAACTATTTCCTGTTGAAAAAATGTTTTTGTTGAAAAAATATATAACATATGTTTGTTGTGAAGTCCATTATCATGCTATTAATAAAAAGAATATTTCGAGTGTAGATATGAAAATTTTAGGAAAAGATTGGCAAACAGTAATGAGTGTCAATTTAAAAATAATCCTTGAATATATGAGCCTTCCAACAGAAGCCAATGGCTAAGAAAAAAGAAGACTTACCAATAGGGAAAAATGGAGTTTCTTTGACTTTCCTGCTTAACCTTTCTGTTTGAGTCTCTTCCTCGAAGAATATTTTTGGTTTGTTCATTGTTGCTGAAAGTAATAGTTTTGTATTCAATTTTATTCAGTAATCACTGTGTCCTATACAAAAAATTTGAAAAATAGCTATGAATAAAGACAAACAGCTATTACATCATATTGCAAAAACTTGAAATATAAAGAGAACTAAAAAAATATTACTCACTAAGGGACATGTTTCGATATCAACACAAAAAAACCAAAGAAATAAATGATCTGCAAGCCGCAACAGTAAATTTCCGCTAAAACATGAAATACATACCCTAAAACGACATTGACTACTTATTGGAAAGATAACGATCCAGCGTTGCCGTTACTAATAGCAATTTGGCAAGTTATCCTCAAAATAAAACACTCTCACGAGTCTAAGTGAAAAGGCAATTTCTGAAAAATTAAAAATTGCAAACTTCTTAGTTTTCAAATCCAACAAAACACATTGTTACTGATGATTATAAACCATAGATTGTCACAATCCAAAAAAATCACTAATACCAGAATAAAAACCAATTATGAATAATCTATTGGAAACAAGTTTTCCTATCCAGAACAAAAATGCTGTTTCTCGACACAGGTTCTGGTAACTAAGTAAACGTCATAACGTCAACAGGAAATGATGATATAACTAAGACACTTTCTAATAATGCTAACTTGGTTAACGAAACGCGCGTCGAGAGAGCTTTTTTGTTTTGTGAGGGAAAAGTGTTTTCAATAGATGTATTTCACGTCAGGGATTCCAAATTCTACTCATTGATTCATTTCAATTCATTCAACATTTTTTTTATATCACAAAAAAGTAAATTGAAATAAGTACAAAATAGTAATCTCATTCAATTATTTTGTAAGTATAAATCATGAATTTTTCCTTCATATTAATTTCTAGTCATATTTTTTGATATTATGTAACGAATTATGTTTTCAACCTCTCAACTTCAATATTTTACTATTTTTAACATTTTAAACCCGAAGATGGCATAGATAATATCGAAACGTCGTTAAATAAAAATACATAGACTTTGACCGGCTACGGTCGGAAGCCGGGTGGTTCGACGTGGGTGCTTTATTCACTCAGTCACTCGGCCGATGTGTTAGTCGATGGTTCAAGCCCCAGGCTGAACGCTCGATTTTCACTTGCTATCGTCCAACCCGTGTTAGGAATCACACGTTAAAAGGTGAGACCTCGTTAGTCCTTAGCTCACACCCGTTTCGACTTCTGAGGGTTGTCATTCATAGGGGTGCGATAGCTGGTTAACGGAAAAAAACATATTTAAATTATAGATAAAACACCACTATGTTATAAAGTGATAGTACAAAGAATAAATTGTTAATTTATTGTGAAAAGGATTCGCTAAAAAACTCTTCCAAACTATAAACAAGTAAGTTCTTCACCGCCTTTTTGAAATGAATGTTGCTTAAATTTTCAGATTTAATTTCTAATGGTAAATGATTCAACAACTTACCACCATTATAGTATATGGAATCCTTGATTAAATTCGAAGTTGAGATGGGAAGTCTAAAGGTCTATTACGAGTAGCATAAAAAGTAGAAGCAAAGTTGAACTTCGATTTATGTTTATAAATAAGGCAAACCGTCTCTAGGATGAAAAGTGCGATGAATGTTAAAATTTTATTGGCAGTAAACAAGTTGCGATATGGAAACCCAACTCATTTGAAACCACTCTAACTGCATAACATCCGGAGGAGATCTTACTATTGAGTTCTTTGAGGTGTTCATCAAATTTCAGCCTATTATCAATGAATACGCCAAGAAATTTTGTGTTTTATTTATTTTGTGATAAGGCAGCGCCTATTGGAATTTCATCAAGCGAACATTTGAATGATATATTCGTTTTAGATGCATTGAGAGAGAGAGTTAATTTGCATCGCACCAGCTCTCCACCTTCTTCAAGTCGGATGATATTATTTTATTTAGGTCCACTGAGTTTTTTTCATTCTACAATATTGTAGTATCATCCGCGAATAAAGTGAAAATACCAGATATTTCAATCATAGAGATGTTATTCATATATAGCAGAAATATAGAATAGGGCCTAATACAGAAATCTGTGGTACACCAGATTCGATGGCCCTGTTCTCCGAGAGTTCCGTTGTCCTCACCATTTGACTCCGTCCTGAAAAGTACGATTCGAACCAGGTGTTCGTTACACCTCTACATCCATATTTATGAAGTTTTTTTAGTACAATTTTATGATTGACGCAATCAAACGCCTTTGAAATATCACAAAAAGTTGCGGCGGCTACTTCAGCAGCATTCAATTCAGAGTAAATTTCTCATAAAAAAGAGAAGATAGCATCATTTGCATCTTTTTCCGCCTGAAACCCAAACTGGTTTTTGCTTATAATACAGTGCACTTTTAAGAGTTCATCTAAACGTACTTTGACCAATTTCTCAATAATTTTAACTAAAGTCGGTATTAGGTAAATAGGACGCATATTGGAGGGATTATCCCTTAGATAAGATCCAAATCACTACCTTCATGTAGTAGAATGACAACAAAAGTCTTCAGGGAATAAGAAAATGAGCCAGTTCTGAATAAGGCATTAATAAGGGCGACCAAAGCTTCTAGTCTAGAGCATTGAGCGGTAAATTCAGATGAATCTTAACGGAAATATCATCATATCCGGCCATGTTTTTGTTTATAATGTCATTGAAGTATTTCAAACAATTCGTTGAGGTCAGCAGTGTCATATAAAATAGGACTGTCATGAATTTTTATATTTTTTAAGTTGATATGGAGCATGAATTGTGTTATTCAACTGTTTAGCAATATACCAGTAGAACTCATTTATTATATCAGGAATAAGTGAGAGTTCAGAGTTTTTCTTTTTTGTTTTACCTCTCATGTCACTAATAAATGACCAAGTTTCTTTAATTTTATTTTTCGATTCCCCCATTCTGTTGCCGTAATATATTCTCTTAGCTAGACTTATAGTGGATCGATAGACTTTTCTGTACTCATTGAAATAATTCCAGAAGAATGTTTCGTTTGTGAATTCATTTGTGGTATAAGAATCGCTCATTGAAAGATAACACCTCGTTAATTCATAGCTTGCATGAATTTCGACTTTGGTAAGCTGGTTATAAGGTAAAAACCCGAGATCTTATGAAGTAGTATTATAATTTATTTCAAAATATGCTAATATGAAAGTGAGGAAATTCACTCTCANCTTTTGGTAACCAAGTGTTGCCCATCCTTACACTTAATTGTATTGTCATCACAACTAAATATGTGTACCAAATATCAGATCAATTTGTCAACAGAAAGGGGGTCAAACATTAATTACTAAATTTGACCCAAACAAACAGGACAAGCTGAATAAAACCGTTTAAAAAAAGCTTTAATATGATGGTGCATGAACTGCCTCAGGTTGTGTTACAAATAATATAATTTCATACTGTGGTTTGTACTAAGTGCCACGTTTTCTTAAAGATAAAATTTATTGAAATCTGATCTTGAATTCGAAATTTTATGAAATTCTAAGTTTAGAGTTGGAATTTAAGAATAATAATTTTGTTAAATTCGACTTCAATCTCGAAATCGACTTTCAATTAGGAATATGATTGAAAAAAGAATTATTTATTCAGATTCACTTTAGTCAGATGTTCCAGTTCTACCCATTAAGTTTAACCTCGGAATTTCATTCAATTCCGTTTTTGTTTGAAAGTCAATTGTGGCACTCCTTAGGCTTCGTAGGTTTAGTTATCAGATGTTATTGAAAATTTTAATCTGAACTTCCTTTTGACGTTTTCAACCATATTGTGTTCAAGGTTCATTTTTTTATGTGTGATTGATGACTTGTTTATTTTGTGGTAATTCATGATCACTTTAATGAAATGAATAAAAACACTTTTGTCTAATTACTACTAGTTGATTTAATTTATACGACCGGTTTCGGGTTTNCTAACCTTTGCTGAATTACGAAAATTTATTTTCGAAAGTTGAAGGAATATGAGAAAACTCAGTTTTTTCTATTTGTGGTCAAATTTTTTTTAGTTCAAGTTCGACTTGCTTATTTATTTTGAGATATCAATATTTTCCTTCAAGAACCAATTTTCGCTCAGTTTTTTTTAATTCAAAACAGTTTCCAAAGAATATTTCTTTTGAAAGTGTGAGAAACATCACTCTAGCATGTCAACATAATAGTGAATGAGATAAGCCTGTTTATTTTTGAAAACAGACTAATAGGGATGATGGATATTATTACATAAGCATAGCTACATTATTTTATAATTTAAAAAATCTTATCCTTTATGAAACGAGATAAGTAGTTTGTCACTTTTCACTAGTGGGAACTATCCTACACTTATCACTTGCAGAAATATGACTGGAAAATGTAAATGGTGGCAAATATTTCAAGTGAGCTACCAAAGGATTGGGGTCATTCTCAAACAGTTTGAAATATTGAACAACTCTAATATCAATGTTTTATTGAGTTTGATATTTTACTTAGAAAAATAAATCAATAATTCAAAGGAAATGTAACCAATACCCTATATTTATTATTCTACACAGAAAAGTTTATTCTGAACTTTTTATGATACAGTCGGCTGTTACTAGAGAATTTTGTATTCTCAATACCAACCTTGTAAGTTGTTTTCAAACAGTTAAAACAGAACTTTCCTCATTTGTTATGTGGCCATAATTTTCATGTCAAATCAAAAAATTAAACCTTTGCTGAATATATTTTTTGCAACAAATACATCAGTTAAAGTTAAGAAAACAAAAAATATTGGNAGTTATCGAGCAAATAATAACGCTTCTTGAGTTAAGTTCATAAATCTTATATTCTTTATTTTCACCATTAGATGTGTAAATAACATTAAACCAAAATAACTATAATCAAATTCACAACAAAACATCATAACATTCATAATTTATCTCAATAATCTCCTTCTCGTTCTATACAAATTATACTTTCATTTACAGACTTTGTGGCATTTTTAATAGGAGATTTATGTTAGCACAACACTCCCGAATGGTATTCTCTAAATGTTCTTTGTTTGGAAATGGTCTGTGCTTATAGAAAAAAGTCCATCGGAGAGAAGTCCGAGAATCTTGGTGGCTAATAATCTTCCCAATCTTGTCCTATCACTGCGCCCCTAAACATCTGACTGAGATACTGTTTCACTTCTACCGTTTGGTGGATCGATACCACAAATTTCATCTAACACCTAGAGGCAGATTATCCAAAACTTGAGACAACTGATTCATAATGAAATTTTTGTACATATCTGTAGTGGATAACATTGTACATAAAACTCATTTGTTAATTATACATGTACGAATATCTGTACACAG